CCAAAATGCACTATAAAATTAGTCTTTTGAAAGAGTTAACTGTACAATTTCATATATGACACTTAAAATACTTCCATTTTTTCTGGCATTAATATTTTATTAGTAGAAATTAAAGTTAAGAACATACTTTGTCTTCCAGTAAATTCATGGTCGGTTGATATCTTCTAAGCATATCTTGTGAAATCGCAAATAAGAAGTGCAACATAGTATGGCCTCTATTTTATTTGCAGTATCCTTTACGTACATTTCGTATGTAAGTAGAGTTTCGAGACTACCATAAAATCAGTAATATGAGATGTATTCACCCTATTTCATTTAAGGTGATGAAGGATTGGTAGTAGAATATTTCTACAATGCTGTGAGTAGAGCTGACGTTTTCATTCAATTTCACATAGCTTTGCTTTCCCCAAAGTTGTTCTCATCCAGGCAGGAGTGGACTGCAGCTTCGGCCTCGCATTGGTCTTATCATCACCCCCAACGGGAGTCATCCCTACTCATATCATTATGAGAAAATTCTACTACCAGTCCTTCATCACCTTGAGCGAAATTGGGTGAATACATTTCATATATACAAGTTGTTTGGCTCTTTTTTCCCAACTTGCTCGTGTTGTCAGGGCAATCTAGGATGAACACACCTTGTCCGAATCCCTCTTAACGTGTGATCGATAATTTCCAACATAGAAATGTTGACTTGATACATTTCCAGACGTTTTGCTAAAAATAGTAAAAATAGTATTGACACGCTTAGCATCAACTTACAACGCCTCGGAGACAAGTGAAGTCGACAACGTGACGAAAGTTCTGACCACCGATTGTGATCTAACTCCTGCCATTTTGCATCTACCCACCCTCTGCTCGCATCTCGATCCCTCTCTATTTCGGTTGTCCTGAAAACACCACCAGGTCTACAGCAAAAGGAGACAGACTAAAATAGCTGCCACACTATCTTGGTATTATTATTCACAATCTTATGGATATATGTCCGTTTTAGGAAATCAAAAGCAGAAGAGCTAGCAACCTCTATCGGAGAAAGAGGGATTTAGGGCGATAACCGATTACTCAGAGTATTATGCAATAACATCTTTGTCGTCACATAAACTCTCTGTGGAAATCCCGGTTTCCCAGCCTCCGCTAGCCGACACTAAGTAACTTGTCTCATTCAGGCTAAAATGGAGTATCGTTGAAAAGAGTCAAATTTTACTGAGACCAGAACCTTCTCGTTTCCAAGGGAGAGGTAACCGAGGTTGCGCCTAAACCTGTAAAACTAATTTTGTTGTTCGACGGATGATAAGTTAACGGATCCGATCCAATGGAACAGGCCTTCTGGTATCTGCTATTTTGCCTCAGTTCACATCTTTTCCAGCCCCTTTTCTATTTAAGGAGTGAGTCCTTATATGCATAGAGCCCTTCAATGGTTATCGGCCACCATAAACTGTCCATTCTATTTCTAATCCGTAACTCGGAGGAACGACCTTTCTTAGCATACCTTTGCTTCGATATACTCCCTCCATGCTGTTCAACAAAATGATTTACAAAAGCGGCGGAAAACGACATTTTTGTTATATGCCAAACGAGCATAATTGGAAACAATCTACAAATCCTGAGTGTTAGCTTGAGATGCTTAAGGTTGCTTAAGGTGATTTTGAAACGGAGAGTTGGATTTTCCTACGAAACAATTCAATGTTAACTAACTCTGGACACCCAAAGATACTCGCGGGTAAAGCCAGGTATCCCCAAAATCACTGTTAGTGGGATTATCGATAAGGCAAATTTGTATTCGCTATGGCAACCGACGATGCTGCTAGCTAATTAGTGAGTAGTTTACGAGACCATCATTAAGTCCTAAATGCATTCAGTTATTTGCTTTTGAGTTGGTACAAGTTGCTGGCCACATTATAATTATATTTAATGACAAAGTTAGCCTGACTGTATGAATTACTTTGGTTAATTTTAATTTCATACTCTAAACCGTGCTATCTACAAAGACCTGTCTTCGTAACTTGCTCACTTTTTGAGGCCGTCATTTTGTTCCGTCGTTACCAAACCACGGCAAATGTTGAACTATGACGCATGCCATTTTTAAGTGATTCTGTTTCACTACTCTGATTAGTATCCTAGTTTATATTTTGATTAGGTGACCTCCTTTTTACATAAATATGCAGTTCTTGATTTTTGAGCACAGATCGACCTTCTAGCGGCGTGTACCATCTCTTTTGTATACTCCTCGACATTCAATATTTTCTTGCCAGATCTCTTCGTGACTCTCGTTTCGGATTGCTTAACATTGTTTTTAACTTCCCATAATTTCTGTCAAACTTATTTACGTAGCATAGCAAATAAGTATGCGAATATTTCCGCTTAATGTTCTTAGCGTAAACTTAGGGACGAAGTGGGAAACCAATTAATCTATGTAGGCACTTTTACAGAAAATGACGACATCAACAGGGAACAGCCTCTAATGAAGAGGCATAATTGAGGCGTCGCCTCCTTCCAAAACCATTATTTTTTGGCTATTTGAAATTTTTAGAGTAAAAATGGCATTTGCAGGCCAGAAAGCTCTCGCCAGAAAAGCCTTCAAAATATCGCAATTATCTTGATTGCCATTTCTGTACCTGAATCGCAACCTTCGAATTGCCAAGGCTAAATGAATGTCGCGATTAGAAGAGCCGATATACACTTCATTCATTTATAAATAAAAGCAAAATATTATAAGGGAAAGCTAAACAAGAGGCCGGATCGCACACTGTTTTGACGTGGGTAGAAAGCACTGCTTTCTTGAGGTTGAAACATCAGCAATGGGCCCTCAGCAGGAGAGGGGAAAAGCAGGATTTCTGCCACAAGGTAAGTGGGATTTTAATTAACGAGTGTGCACAAAATACGAAACTTTCGTCGTCGGCAAAAATCATTGGAATAGCGTCAAGCATTGTTGGGGTTCTGTCTGCATAAAGTAGCCACTAGATTGTCCTATGAAATATCCTCAAAAAGTAAGGGATTAGGTCCTGATTGAAATTTTGATACTATTTTATAGGCATGATTGGGACACGTCAAAACTGGTTGTTGCTTAAAACACACATTTAGGGAATGAACGCAAGATGGGTGCTAAAAGCTCTCAAATCTAACACAGATACACATGGATGGAACTTTGTTAGACTGACATCTGAACGTAAGAGAACAAAAAGTAGAAAATCTAAGCTGTCGCTTTCACTCCTAGTATTCTAAATGGGATTATATTCTGTGGGGAGAATATATTTGGGCATGTTTTCAAAAAACAACAATAACTCTTATTTGTATAAGCTTCAATGCAGGTTTTGAGTGGAGGAGGCTCGAACACGGTGTTTCGCAACCGTCGTTTGGCCATCGCCTGCAGTGCTGCGAGTCCGACAGATCAGATTTCGAATGCGACCACGTAGCTCCGAAGTTTGCTGATTTGGGAAAACACCTAATCCAGTGACATATCCCTGAGAATAATTATTAAAGGGAAATGGAAATAAATCAGAATTTGTTTGCTGACATTGCTAAACTTTTGCGCCAAATTGGTTCATTTATCCCTTTATTTCAGCTAACTAACAATCACCAAAAAGAATAGACCTGTGCAATGAAAATGAGATAAGATGATGGCGGATAAATTGTGTCGCAGGAATACTTGCCGTGAAGACTTCTGGGAAAGCAGAGAATTCACCCGAAGTTTTGACAAAATATCTTTGTCCAAACATGGCCACATTCATGTGAAGGCTACGTAGAATTATCCGGTGCTGATTTAGTTGCCATTCTACTCATCAGTACGTTCCGGGTAGGTAGGGATTGGCTTCATCGCCCCCGAAATCAGAAGCAGATACCGGGGTTTGCTTCACTTAGACCGAATAAACTTTAGGAATGTAGATAGTTAAGTTTCCTTACGGGAGAAATAAAACGCTTAACAGACAAAAGCGGGCTGCCAACTGTGCCCTTGCAACCTGGGACGCTGGATTATTAGAAAAGTGATAAAAATAAACATATTTAACGCTAAAACAATGATGAAAAATTATGAGAAATGGGACAGGGATGCGGAATAACGAATGGAGTTGTGTAGCAAATTCTTTATTTAAAACTGAGCAGATATCAAAACTCGTGTTTTTATTCAAGATCTGCAAATAGTTTAGAAATATTTATATGTATTGGTATAGTCGATTTTAATGGCAACTTTAAGTTTTCCTTGTAGATTGCATCGTTGAGCTTACTTTCATTTCAAGTGGAAGGGTTTCGGTGAAGAGATTCGAAGGCCAATTACACCAAAAGTCGACGACATATTCATCTTGACCAGCTGTCGATTAGCTTTACTGGAGCATTCATGTTGACGCTGTTTCCAAGTTATTCTCCTTCGATTCCGATGAAACGATGCTAAGCTTTCGTGCATCATATGCAGAACATCACCATATCAAGGTATCATCCTTACAACCAAATTCAAGCTGACGAGTCAAGAAAACTCACTGACTCATCCTGTATAACTTTCTGTTTGACATTTGATGAAGCATAAAGTGACTCGGTTAGTTCCAGTCATATGTTTACTTCATGTGAGTGTGCCTGCCCCCAATGTGTATGTACCTGTATGTGTTCGCCAATGCACGAAACCACCAGTGATCGCTCAAAGTAATTAGAACAGCCAAAGTAACGTCTGTTCTCGGCCATCAAGGTTTGATGACCACTATCTCTCCATTTCTACTTACATGTGATAACAATCACTCCGGTTGTGCAAGGTCGGACATACGTTTGGTTAGATTGATGAGCCTTATTTTGTCTTTACATGAGAGAGAAAGAGTGAGCTAAAGGTACGGAAAAGTGACTATAGTTGGACACACTTACATCCTTCGATGTTAAAATATGACTGGAACTAGCCAAATTACTTTATACCTCGTCAAGCAGGTCAAACAGAGTATATATACAGCTTTTTAGGGATGTGCTGGCGAGTTTTCTTGACTCGTTAACTTGAATTTGGTTGTGACGATGCTACCTTGCTCTGATGATGTTCGTCATATGAAGGACGAAAGTTTAGCACTTTTTCACCGGAATCGAAGGAGATTTCCTCGGAAACAGCATTTGAATGTTCCAGTAAAGCCAATCGACAGCTGGTCAAGAGGAATCCGCCGTCGTCTTCTGGTGGAACCGACCTTGGAATCTCTTCACCGCACACTTTC